TAGCTGAGTGGAGTATGCTAGTTCCACCAGAGTACACGTGCTGTATCGGGGTAGCTGAGTGGAGTCTGCTAGTTCCACCAGAGTACACGTGGTGTATCAGGGTAGCTGAGTGGAGTCGGCTAGTTCCACCAGAGTACACGTGGTGTATCAGGGTAGCTGAGTGGAGTCGGCTAGTTCCACCAGAGTGCACGTGGTGTATCAGGGTAGCTGAGTGGAGTCGGCTAGTTCCACCAGAGTACATGTGGTGTATCAGGGTAGCTGAGTGGAGTCGGCTAGTTCCACCAGAGTACACGTGGTGTATCAGGGTAGCTGAGTGGAGTCTGCTAGTTCCACCAGAGTACACGTGGTGTATCGGGGTAGCTGAGTGGAGTCGGCTAGTTCCACCAGAGTACACGTGGTGTATCAGGGTAGCTGAGTGGAGTCGGCTAGTTCCACCAGAGTACACGTGGTGTATCGGGGTAGCTGAGTGGAGTCGGCTAGTTCCACCAGAGTACACGTGGTGTATCGGGGTAGCTGAGTGGAGTCGGCTAGTTCCACCAGAGTACACGTGGTGTATCAGGGTAGCTGAGTGGAGTCGGCTAGTTCCACCAGAGTACACGTGGTGTATCAGGGTAGCTGAGTGGAGTAGGCTAGTTCCACCAGAGTACATGTGGTGTAACGGGGTAGCTGAGTGGAGTCCGCTAGTTCCACCAGAGTACACGTGGTGTATCGGGGTAGCTGAGTGGAGTCCGCTAGTTCCACCAGAGTACACGTGGTGTATCAGGTAGCTGAGTGTAGTCGGGTAGTTCCACCAGAGTACACGTGTTGTATCGGGGTAGCTGAGTGGAGTCTGCTAGTTCCACCAGAGTACACGTGGTGTATCAGGGTAGCTGAGTGGAGTCGGCTAGTTCCACCAGAGTACACGTGGTGTAACGGGGTAGCTGAGTGGAGTCCGCTAGTTCCACCAGAGTACACGTGGTGTATCAGGTAGCTGAGTGGAGTCGGCTAGTTCCACCAGAGTACACGTGGTGTATCAGGGTAGCTGAGTGGAGTCGGCTAGTTCCACCAGAGTACACGTGGTGTATCGGGGTAGCTGAGTGGAGTCGGCTAGTTCCACCAGAGTACACGTGGTGTATCAGGGTAGCTGAGTGGAGTCCGCTAGTTCCACCAGAGTACACGTGGTGTATCAGGGTAGCTGAGTGGAGTCGGCTAGTTCCACCAGAGTACACGTGGTGTATCAGGGTAGCTGAGTGGAGTCCGCTAGTTCCACCAGAGTACACGTGGTGTATCGGGGTAGCTGAGTGGAGTCGGCTAGTTCCACCAGAGTACACGTGGTGTATCAGGGTAGCTGAGTGGAGTCCGCTAGTTCCACCAGAGTACACGTGGTGTATCAGGGTAGCTGAGTGGAGTCGGCTAGTTCCACCAGAGTACACGTGGTGTATCAGGGTAGCTGAGTGGAGTCGGCTAGTTCCACCAGAGTACACGTGGTGTATCGGGGTAGCTGAGTGGAGTCGGCTAGTTCCACCAGAGTACACGTGGTGTATCAGGGTAGCTGAGTGGAGTCTGCTAGTTCCACCAGAGTACACGTGGTGTATCAGGGTAGCTGAGTGGAGTCCGCTAGTTCCACCAGAGTACACGTGGTGTATCGGGGTAGCTGAGTGGAGTCTGCTAGTTCCACCAGAGTACACGTGGTGTATCAGGTAGCTGAGTGGAGTCGGCTAGTTCCACCAGAGTACACGTGGTGTATCAGGGTAGCTGAGTGGAGTCGGCTAGTTCCACCAGAGTACACGTGGTGTATCAGGGTAGCTGAGTGGAGTCTGCTAGTTCCACCAGAGTACAAGTGGTGTATCAGGGTAGCTGAGTGGAGTCGGCTAGTTCCACCAGAGTACACGTGGTGTATCAGGGTAGCTGAGTGGAGTTCGCTAGTTCCACCAGAGTACACGTGGTGTATCAGGGTAGCTGAGTGGAGTCCGCTAGTTCCACCAGAGTACACGTGGTGTATCGGGGTAGCTGAGTGGAGTCTGCTAGTTCCACCAGAGTACAAGTGGTGTATCAGGGTAGCTGAGTGGAGTCGGCTAGTTCCACCAGAGTACACGTGGTGTATCAGGGTAGCTGAGTGGAGTCCGCTAGTTCCACCAGAGTACACGTGGTGTATCAGGGTAGCTGAGTGGAGTCCGCTAGTTCCACCAGAGTACGCGTGGTGTATCGGGGTAGCTGAGTGGAGTCCGCTAGTTCCACCAGAGTACGCGTGGTGGATCGTGGTAGCTGAGTGGAGTCCGCTAGTTCCAACAGAGTGTGCGAGTTGTATCGGGATAACTGGCCATTGCGGGTTGATTAAATTGATGAGTGGGGGGGATGGGCTGGCCCTGGTCCAGTTTGGACGTCGTTCGTCCCTAATGTTACCCACAGCCCAGAATAAAACTCGCGTGGCTGGATGATGGGGGCAGCGCACTCATTACTCGTGCCGCCGCTCCTCGCCGACGATGGCACAGCAAGCGATCGCCGCGTTTTTTCGGAAGGATTTTGTGATACTCTGCTCTGCTCTGATGGGGGGGGGACAGGAGGGTCTAAAGCAGGGCTTTAAAAAATATATGGTTCTCGTTACGACGCCATGGGCAAAACTGTCTGGGGCATCTGGGCCGGGAATGCGTTTTGAATTCCTGTAACGAGCGGTGTCTCCGAGATCGATGACTGTGCTTCCTGAAAACCTGATCCATCACCCGTGACATCATCATCACCACACGGGTGTCTCGGCAGACCACAATGACACACGGTCCCCGTTGCATGTAGGGGAGTCACGATGGCGAGATGTTAACTACCTCGCCTGGTATGCAGGAGGTTGTGGGTTCGATCTCGACCCTGATGCCTGTTGTATATTTGGAGTTTGCGTGCCTCTCTCCCCATGGTCGCATGGATTTTTCTCCGGGTCCCCCGGTTTTTCCCTCCACATGTAGAAACATGCGTTTCGAGTATTTGGCTGTTATAAATGTCCACGTGAAAAGCCACTTTGTTGAGCTATCATTTGTAATGGTTGTGGGTGATGGCCAGATCGCATCTGAAAAATAACTATGCAGCTCTGTGGGCCTTACCTGGTAAAATAAAAAACGCATCTTGTCACTTTAAGAGCTTTCAGTGTTTCACATTGTGTCATAGGCTACATAATGTGGTGGCTGTGAAGTTCATAATATGGTACTTTGAGAAACATACAAAAAATATTGAAACGTGACCTTTGGTATCTGACATGGCTAGGTCTTGCCTTTTTAAACAGTGAGATTAATGTATTATTTCGTGAGATGTATTGTGTTTTCGCAGAAGTGTGAATCTATCCCTGACTAAAGTAGGCTATGGTTCGTCCTTCATGGATGTAAAGTTAAAGACACAAGCCACAGCAGTGCAATTGTGGCCATGGCAACGGAAAACGAGGGATCACGTCATACACCGATGTTTGAGTCTGCACCCTTTCGACGGAGGAGGAACAGCAAAATAACAGGAACTCTCTCTCTCTCCTCCAGCCCTCTCGTCGTGGCAAGTAGACCACGACGTTGGCATCCAGCTGCTCAACACATTGCCTTGCTCGTTAGTAGTGTCGCGTCAATGAATACGGCGGTGAGTTCATTTGCTTGTTGGTTGCCTGTGGTACCTCCTAATTGTACAATACTAGCTGTGCTATCCGGCTTCGCCCGGGACTTGGATTCACCACGGGCGGCCGCCTTTGTCTCCCCAGTGGCGATGTTCACACACCGCACCAGTTACTCGTTTGAGGCTGAGTCGACCTAGGGGAGGCCCAGGACCGGTTAAATTAATCTTCACCGGTGGTGGCCGTGAGCGGGAATCGAACTCGGGTCGCCAGGTTCGTAGCGCGGCACGCTAACCGCTACACTACAATGCGTTACGCTTCCACATGCGAGGGTCACGTGACATATTTGACGTCACAGCTCACTTTACGTGCAAAAAAAATAAGCATTATTGAGCTCCCCCCCCCCCCCCTCCAAAAATGCAAAAGTGTATTTTTATAATGTTTGCATGGTGTACAGTCTGGAAAGTACCCACATGGCAAATTTCAAGTTTGTTGCATGTCGGGAAGTACTCTAAACATTTTGAACAGACACACATAATCACCACTTTGCCTTTTATATATATGGAGCTATAACACGGATCGCACTTAAACTGGGTCCAACGATGCGTCCATGCATTGATGGACTCCAAATCATCATCATTATTCTTATACCCCGATCAGAACATGAGGAAGACAAACAGGGAGGCAGCCAGAAAACCGACACGACCAACACCAATTGCCCAAGCCCTGTGGTCTGCCAGGAGGTGGCGATGTTGCTCCACGTGTGTGTCTGTATAATCCAAATTGAGTAATTTTCGTGTAATTTTAAAATTTGCCAACTTCTGACCGTGGCGCTGGGGGACGCAACAAGGCCCTACTCTTGCGAAAATAACGTCACGGGATCTTCAACGTCCGCTGTGAAGCTGACGAGATGCTGTATTTATTATGGTTCATACACACGGCAGTGTTCACCTGGTACATTGAGGCAAAGGGAGCAACCAAATCTACAAATGAGATGGGGGGGTGGGGGGAGGGAGAAAAAGGTAGACACAATACCAATCTATGTTTGTTGAACTTCTTTCGCACCATGACTTGTGACAATTTCTCGGATCGCTGCGGTGGCCGGGTGAGCGGCAAAACGCCTCACCACGATGATGGCTCTGTCACAACAAATATTTCTCACCCTCCTCCTTTCATTATCATCATCATCGGCGATGTTCTATCCACTGTTGGATGATGGCACTTACGAGAGAGTGTGTGTGTGTGTATGTGCGCGCGCAAGTGCCCTGCCAAATTCGCAGGAGGAAAAAATTAAATGTGTGGAAGGTGCACATGGGACAGCGGAAAGCGGGCTTTGAAGACGCTCTTTTAACCGGCAGGACTTTCCTGCAGTGCCCATTTGTATTCATGCTCTGCGGAGGGATGAATTACACCCGAGATTGCTTTTGTCTCTTTTCGTAAACAGATCTCGAGGCGATGCAGCGAGAATTGACCGAGCCTCGTCCCGCGATGGACATTCACCCGGTCATCATCGACGGCCGCAAGAGAAGCACGCTCCCCGTTGGTCCAGCCACGCTCCCAGACAACAGGTAGCCATTATGAGACCTCCTTTGTCGGTAACAAGATATAGTAATAGGTTTTTACCCTTTTATATGGCACAAAAACTGACACCTTTATACAAGGGATCATGTTTGCGATAACCACAACACAAGTAGTCAAAATGCAAACATGATCCCTTGTGTAAAGGTGTCAGTTTGTGTGCCAGATAAAAGGGTAAAAACCTATTACCATAACAGGTAGCCGCATCGTGGCTTGCCAGCCAATACCAATGCCAGTGTCCGCCATTGGCCACTGGTGCACTTTGAGGCCACGTCAAGTGTCAAAGGCTCGTTGACAGGAGATCACGGGACAGACCCAGGTGCCAAAGGTTGACTGACTGACATGACTGGCAGATGCACCCAGCTGTTCCCCCTTACTGTGCCAACTTGCTGCATTTTAACCACCCGCCGCTTCGCCCGTTGTTGTGAGCGTCGCTCCTCTGACCTCCATTGTTGCTGGAGGGCGACTGCCTCCAACTGCCCAGCAGCAGCGTCCTTCACGAGCCTCCTCCACAGAGGCCGATCTTGACACCGCTGGTACCGGTCTCCGGCAAGTCCACTCAGCTCCACATCCTCCCATACCGCATCACTCCATCTCTTCTCCTGCCCGTGGCGTGCCCGTTTAGCCCCCTCTATCCGGACAAACAGAAGCTGCTTGACCACTTTGCCTGCCATCACCACCATCATCATCATCATCCTTCAGTTTAAATCCTTTTGGGCTCACGCTACAACCTGGACCGTGGCTGTGGTGCAAGACGGACGATGACGCCAAACCAGAATGAGAATCAAATCAGAATCAGTATTTATACTGTAGCAATCCGATGAGCTGTGAAGCTATAAAAACCAAGTCGAGCGGCGGGCCCAGGATGGCGCCACTGCCGCCTGCGTTCAGTGAATGATGAAGCTGCTGCCTGGCTCGGCGCAAACGCACCGTGCTAATTGCAACTATGATCACCGCGCCGTTCATCACAGAGCCAGAGCGCGACGCCTCTCTCTGTACACTGCAAACGTTGGGCATGAATCAATGATGCATCCATTGATGCGCGTGTGTCTGCGCGTGTGCGTGCCCAGTATGTGCATGTCCACGCATGTGTCCCGTGTGGGCGTGTGCCCCGTGTGGGTGTGTACCCACACATTGCTCCGTGTGCGACGATTATCTAAAGCAGTCCTGGGCCTCCCCTAGGTCGACTCGGTCTCAATTGAGCACCTGGTGCGGTGTGTAAACATCGCCACTAGGAAAAAAAAAAGCGGCCGGGCGTGGTGCTAGCCACACACCCCCCCCCACGTGTGCCAGCCTTCACCAAGGTGCCCACTCGCTACTAACAGCACCTTCAACTTGCCCCCAAAAGTCTGTTAAAGGCTCCGTGTGTGTGTGTGTGGGGGGGGGTCTTTGTCTTGCCACTTGTGCTGCAGGCTGGCAGAGCTGCTGGGCGGCCTCACGCTGGGCGAGCTCGAGTCGTGGCTGCTGTGGGAGCGGGCACCGCGTGGCGGCGGCGGCAGCGGCGGGGAGCTGCATCGCGACGACGGCGGCGGCGGCGACGACGTCAGCGTGTGGGCTCACAGGCCGCCGTGCGGGGCGGGCACAGCGCGCGCGGCGCCACGGTGCGTGTGTAGTGAGTCCAACCGAGTCGCAGACGCTATGCTTTAGCGGCAACACATTTGTTATAGCAACACGTAATACACAAAGGGGTAACTGCCCCTTTACCAGATACAGCCGAGGGTGGTGAACACCCAGCTAGCTACACTATACGGAGGAGTTACAGCTACGAAGGGTCGGACCCTCACTCGGGCCCCCGACCACGTGTTGAAGCCTTGTAGGACGTGGAGCTTCCAGCTTGTAGAATGCAGCGACCCCAGTCCCTCCGAGGGACCCACCTTATATCCTCCCGGGTCAGGGCCGGCTCCGCCCTCGGCCCCATCTACCTTTGCGAGCATTCTAGCTCGCTCTTAATCCCCCTCGAGAGCTCTCCCCGAACACGTGATCACCCTTAAGCCCCCCCACCTGGGGCTCTCTCTGTGGACACTCTGGATCACGTGTCTACGGGGTCAACCCTGCCCATGGGCTGATACTCTCTAGCTCCCCCTTGTGGGAGTCCGCGCTACACGCTGTGCGTGGTGCCTGCGCTATCCCAGCGCTCACCAAGCCCCGCTAAGGCTGGTACCACCCCCACCTACGGGGTGTACGCGATGACGGTGCATCGCACGCCGTGCTATAGTAAAGCCGGCATCACACAGCAACCCAGCCAGTGCGGTCCGTGACGTAGGAACATCGCACGCCACGATCCTCCCGGGCCGGCACCATACAGTGACATCCCCTATGTCACTACACGTGGACGTGCGGGCACAGCCTGCGCGAGCGTGCACGCGCTCGGGGGCGGTGGGGGGGGGTGGCACGTTGCCAACGGCGGTGCGCGATGTCGTTCTATGATATTGGCGACGGAAAAACAATATTTATCGACTCAATGATTCTTTGCTTTGTTATTTTTAGTCGACGTTGACTGGTTTCGTGTGCACGAAATTAAAACTAAGCGATTTTTTTTTTAACCAAATAAGGCCCACTGAGCCGTAAAGCTCTTTTTCAGAAGGGGCTTGGCCACAAATGACAGCTCAACGAAGTGGCTTATCGCGTGAAAATGTACCGCAGCCAAGTACTCTGAACGCGTGACGTTCATTCTCAACGTGGAGGGGAAAACCGGAGGACGCGGAGAAAAATCCTCGCGACCATGGGAAGAAAGACACGCAAACTCCAAATATACAAGCTTCAAGGTCGGGATCAAACCCACGACCTCCTGTATACCAGGCGAGGAAGTTCATATCTCATAGCCACCTTGACGCCACATCATCAAGCCTAACGATGGTGGCTTCGTTTCAGCCGGGTCTGTCAACAACCGAGAAAATATATCCGCTCCCTGCACACGACATCCATCGTATTTCTCACTATTGTGGCTGTGGCTTACTGGTCACGTGCCACCTACTACCACTGACTAACAGTCCACCAGGCACCCCGAAAATATTTGGCAAGAAACTTCGCCGCGATCAACTCGCTTCCCATTCTTTGTTAATAAACCTCGCGCTGCCGCTAGACAGTGAATCTCATGCCATCGCTATTTTCACGTCCATGGTTCTTAATCAGCGCAGGCAAATGTCGCCCCTATCCTTGTGCTGGTTCTCTCTCTCTCTGGAGGCTATCGTCTCTGTTCTAGTGATGATGGCAGAGGGTTGGATTTTGCGCTTGTATGTGCGTATGTTGAACTTCTTTCGCACCGCACGCAGCCAACCGCGCCAATCGGAGGTGCGGTTGTGCTGCAAGGGTTTTTTGTTGGGTCACTCCGTGTCAATGTTTCAGCGCGATCTGCGATGTTTCTACTGCCCCGTGTGCTGGGTAGCTTCTTTCAGCAGCTGAGTTGCTGGAAAGGCAGCGATACGAATTGCGCGCAGAACCGAGTCCCTGAAAATTCTCCCAGCACGAGGAGTGAAGGGTCGCACGTCGCGCCGAAGGACGCGCGGCACGATGTCGGAGATATAATGATGGCATTCATGATGACATTAATGTTTACATTGATGATGACATTCATTATGACATGAATGTTTACATTGATGTTGATGACATTCATGATGATGACATTCATGTCCAAAGAAGATGAATCATTGCAGTCACGAAAGCTTTAAATCGACATTCATGTCATCATCATCATCATTAATGATGACATTTAGTAATGACATTAATGTTGACATGGATGATGACATTTAATAATGACATTAATGATGACATAAATGATAATGACGACATTACTGATGACATTAATGTTGACATGGATGGTGACATTTAATAATGGCATTAATGATGACAAATGATGACATTAATGTTGACATTGATGTTGATGACATTCATGATGACGACATTAATGTCATCATTTCATCATCATCATCATCATTAATTATGACATTAATGACGATGACATTAATGGTGACATACGATGATGACATTTGCGCTCTCACTGCTTCCGCTATCATTGCCGTTGATGACGAGCGATCGTGTGGGGGCTCACGTCTCCAGCTCGAGTGTTTTGTATAACTGTGTTGTATAACCATGTTGTACAACCAACATGGTTGTACAACCATGTTGTACAACCATGTTGTATAACCATGTCCCCCCCTCGTACTTTACGAAGGGACTGCGGTCTCTGTGCATTCCGTACGCTTCAGGAGGTTTGTCGTTCCGGGGGCGGGGCGCTCCTTTTAAAAATATACTGACAGGTGTCAATTCAAAACGTGAAATAGCTTAAAATAAGGAAGCAAAAATGTATTCTATTTTTAGTTTGTAAGCGTTCAAAAGAATAACTCCGATTACCTGAATACGCGTGCATCGCGAGAACACCAACTTGTAATTAGCGTCTCTCAGTGGGCATTATTTTAGGGTTTAGGGTGTTTGATTCACGTCCAAAATAGCACCGCGGGGAACGGCATTGGCGGCGACATCGGGCTGCGTCGGCTCCGGATGGGAAAACGGGAGTGGGGGGAGCGGTGGGGTTCACCGGACGATGTCCTCCTGGCGCTGGGGAAACTGCGAAGTCAGAGTTGAGGACGAGAGGTGAATTTTTGGCCGCATGAACTTTTGCCAACCAACAAGGATCCAATGTCTCCCTGTGACGGTTCGCTAACGATGAAGCTCATCACAGAGGGCCTCGGCGCTAGGCCACAGCTCATCGTTTGCCCTCTCATCGCCGCTCCTCTCCGCGGTGAAGGCTCCTTCATCACGAGCGGGGAGGTTCCTTCCGCCCGTGGAGACCAGAGGCCCCTTTAGCCAGGGCACTCAGCGGACTCCCGCTCGCCATGTTTGCCCATCTCCCACGGCAAGGACAGGGAGGGATCAGGTCGAGTTGTCCCGTGGTCGATTAGTGCCGCTTGACTTGGCGTTACAGCACAGCACAGCAGAGGAGGAGGAGAAGGAATGTTGAAAAGCAGCAAAAGTTTGGTGCATTTTGACTCCACGTTTCGCTGGAGATTTACAGCCCAGCGTCGCCAGGTGTTAGCGAGTTTTTTTTACATTTTTAAATAATCTAGATTGAAAACTAATTTCTTTATAACTGCTTTGTGTGTTTAGATTGCCCTTCCACCGCACCTCCAATTAGCACGGTTGGCTACGTACGGTGCAAATGAAGTCCAACATACATAGAATTTTACATTGCGGGTTTCAGAAAAAAACAAATCAATGCGTATATTTGGTAACGTGACAACTTGATTTGATTGGCTCTGTCGGGCAGTGCAAGGATTAAAGTAAATGCGCATTACACCTGCACGGCGATCTAACGCAAGATAAACGAATTACGAATCGTAAATATTGATCGCGAAAGCCCAAGTACAAAAGTAAGGACAAGCGGGTTGAGTTTTAGGAAATGACAAAGAGTAACACGAATATTCCACGATTAAAATCCGTTCATTTATCCGGACGAGAGGCTCCTGTAAGAAGAGCTGCCTGCAGTGGAGGAAGCTTCCGACAGCGGTGGCGTGAGAAATAAGTTTGCGGCGCTGTGCCGTCTTCACTGTATCTAGGGGAATTTTTTTTTAAAAAAACCTCACTCGGTTTAACAACGATGTTTTTGGGAGGGTCCTGAAGTTTGTATGTTTGGCCAAGTCCTGCTTTGCTTATTTTGAACGACGACGATGATGATGATGATAATGATTGCGTGTGGTTTTTGTTTGTCTCTCATGGGAAGTTTTATTTCCCACAAGGTATTTTTATCACAACCAGCACGCCTCGGTGGCTAGGAGATGTTAACTTCCCCGCTTGGTATGCACGAGGTCGTGAGTTCGACCCCGACCTGACGCCTGCTGCTGCTGTATATTTGGAATTTGCGTGTCTCTTTCTTCGTGGACGCGTGGATTTTTCTCCGGGTCCTCTGATTTTCCCCTCCACATTTAGGTTCTATAAGTGTGTTAAGAGTATTTTGCCTCTATACATTTCCACGTGCTAAGCCACTGCGTTGTGCTACATAGCTCAGTGAGCCTTATCTGGTAACAATCAAAAGTAGTTTTGTTTAAGTTTAATTGCCCGGGATCCACAGCTGGGGTGGGGGGCGGTAGGGTGGGGGGGGTGACGTCACCCGCGTGCCAGCCAGGCAGGCAAGCAGTACAGCCAGCAAAACGTTGCGTTCTAATATAGTATGTTAGTAATAATAATAATAACGATGCCCTTGCTTATCCAATATGTATTCACTGAGTGTCTTGCATTGCAATATTTCGTCAGTTCCATTTAATTCCTCTCACCTCCGATTAGCACGGTTGGGTATGTACGGTGCGAAGGAAGTTCAACATACACACACGCACATACAATTAGTGGTTGGCTTTTGTCTGGGAGGGACACTGGATGACTCGGAGAAAGCCAATCGTGGGATAGCACTCTGAGCTCTGCACAGATGGATCCAAGCATTGGTGTTGCCATCTCTGGGCCACGCCGAGCAGCCCAGTGGCTTATGGGAGTTTTGTAAATCTGCGTGATTCACCAACCCTCTGATTAGCGCGGTTGGCTACGTACGGTGCAATAGAAATTCAACACACGTACGTAGCCAACCGTCACGCCAAACGATGACGAATCACTCCGA